CTGATTTATTTAACTTAAAAGATAGTTTACTGCATTTCTTTGTTGAATTAAGATATAAAATGTCCATAGCTTTATCATAGCACAAGAAAACGCATTTGTAGTTACTGCCTTTCTCCATAGTAGGGCAGTATAATGAAAAAAAAAACATCGAACAAGACGTTGGAAGACTCGCCCACTTTACCAAGACCGGGAAACTACGGGGTTTTACAAAGCAACGTTTCTAAAAATGAAAGACATTGATCATAAACAATATCTAAATATCCTATTTAGAGACACAAATTATTTAATAAACTGAAAACCTATCTTAAATAATACTAAACAATCATGTATTTTAATTATTTTGTGCCTACGCGCTGTCACCCTACAGCGCATGTCCATAACAAGCACTGTGATTGGTCATGCCAAAGACCTTTACGGTGAAAGATAAAACTTAAAAATTTCTACGGGAGGAAGAAATGCCGTCCTTACGGTACGGGAATCTATAAATGGCACTACGATTTAAATAAACATTTTTGACGTAGTGTCACCATTAACATTGCCCGTTATTAATTTTAATTAAACTTAACAATTATTGATACTTTAAAATATTAAAATAACTTTAAAATATGATTTTGTTAAGAAAATATTTTATTCTTTGATTTTTTATATTACTATAATTGCAAAATATGATCACGTATTAAAAATTCCTACACGGGAAATGTTAATGGTGACAATTACCTAATGTTCATCTTCTACGGGAGGAAGGAAGGAAGGCAATCTATAACTCAGGCTTGTCTCTTTAACTTCGTTAACGTTCAATAATGAGAGCGTCTTTTAGCACAAAACTCGTTCAGAGGAAGTCAAGGGGCAGGTTCGGGAAAGAGATTCGGTTCCAGGTCGGCCATGAAAATCCTGGTCGATTCGATAAGAAGCGAGACCCCGAGGCCCAAATCGCCGCACATGAATAACGAGGAACCGATAGAATTGGCGCATTTTCCTGGGGCGAAACCGCCACTTGCCCGGGGAAGCCCCCAAAATCGAGCGCGACGATTTTCCGGCCCCGCCTTATCCTTACACAGACCCAGGTTTGTCGCAAACAACACAAATGTTTTCGACAAATCAGTTAAAACATTTTTTTTTCTATTCAGAAAGGAGAAAACGATGGTCGGACTCTTATAAAGGTGTGCCGAGCGACTCTGATGAAGAAGAAACGGTGGACGGGTTGACAGCTAAGGAAATTGAAGATAAGAAGTTAAAGAAAGAAGAGGAAGAATTAAGCAAAATTGCCAGTGGAATTGGAAAAGTTTTCCTGAAAAACGTACAAGAACGAGAAAAGGTTAAAAAACTTAGAGCTGCCCATATAGACCCTAGAAATGCATCAAGGTAAGTCCTTCTTTAATACCAAAAAAACATTTTCTTGTCAATATAACGTTGTTTCAAAATAAAGTCCAAAGCTTTTTTACAAAATGTTTAACAAACTGTGAGAATATAGATCTCAAATCAAAACCTATATTTCAGTATGACCTTTTCGAAATTTTACCCCAAAACAAGTTATTTTAGATAATTGAGTACTAGTTGAGTACAAAATGTTTTACAAACTCAGAATATAGACCTTCTAAAATCCAAACCTATATTTCAGTATTACCTTTTATAAATTTGACGCCAAAACAAGAGAGACTCTTTCTCAGTACTATCCTTTTCCAAATTTGACCCCATAACAAGTTATTTTAAATAATTTATTTAAAAAAATAGTTAATTTAGCTTTTTTACAAAATGTTTAACAAACTAAGAATATAGAACTTTTAAAATCAAAACCTATATTTCAGTATTACCTTTTCCAAATTTGACCCCAAAACAAGTTATTAGTTTAGTAAGGAAGAGTTGATTTAGCTTTTTTACAAAATTTAAATAATAAAGACCATTTAAAATCAAAACCTATGTTTGGATTACCTTTTTCAAATTAGACCCCAAAACAAGTTATTTTAGTAAGAGGAATAGTTAATTTAGCTTTTTACAAAATATTTAACAAACTGAAAATATAGACCTTCTAACATCAAAACCTATACTTCAGTATTACTTTTTCCAAATTTGACCCCAAAACAAGTTATTTTAGAATCCTTTTTTATTATTTAGTAATAAGTAAGAGGAATAGTTAATTAAGCTTTTTACAAACTTCAATATTTATCTTATCTTCTTTCCAAAATTGACCGCAAAAAAGGTATTTTAGATAATTTAGCTTTTTATCTAAATATTTGAGAAACTTAAAACTTAATTACTTATTTCAGAAGTACCTTTTTCCAAATTTTACCGCAAAAAGGGTATTTTAATTAATTTAGTAGAGGGAATAGTTTTTTTTTATTTTTTACAAAATATTCAATAAATTGTGACAAAAAACAAAAATGCAAATATCAGGATTACCTTTTTTCCAAAAATTGGCCCAAAACCAAGTAATTTTAGATAATTTAGTAGAAGGAATATTTATTTTAGCTTTTTACAAATTGCCTGATAAAATGTAAAAATAAAGACCCTCTAAAATCAAAACTTTATTATTTCAGTATTACATTTTTCCAAATTGACATCAAAAAGGTATTTAAATAATTGAGTAAATTAATAGTTTATTTCTCTTTTTTTTCACAAAATATTTAATAAATTGTGGCAATATAGACCCTTCAAAACAAAAAAAAAATGCTTATATCGGGATTACATCTTTCCAAATTTGGCCCAAAAATAAGTAATTTTAGATATTTTAGTGAAGGTGAAAAAGGTAATTTGGCTTTTTTGGAAAATATTTAACAAACAGTGAGAATATAGACCCTCTCAAATCAAAACCTATATGTCAGTATTACCTTTTTCCAAATTTGACTCCAGTTATTTGTATTATCTTCTTTTTATATTGACCGCAAAAAAGGTTTTTCAGATAATTTAGCTAGATAAATGGTTAATTTCTTTTTACAAAATGTTTAACAAACCTTCTAAAATCAAAACCGATATTTCAGTTTTACCTTTTCCAAATTTGACTCCAAAACAAGTTATTTTTAGATAATTTTGTATGAGAAATGTTTAATTTGGCTTTTTACAAAATGTTTAACAAACCGTAAAAATGTAGACCTTTTAAAATCAAAACCTATATTTCAGTATTACCTTTTTCAAATTTTACCCCACAACAAGTTATTTTAGATAATTTTGTGGAAGGAATGAATAGGTAATTTAGATTTTTTACAAAATGTTTTAACAAACTGTGAGAATATAGACCTACTAAAATCAAAACCTATATTTCAGTATTACCTTTTGCAAATTTGACCCCAAATTAAGTTTTTTCCAAAAATTGGCCCAAAACCAAGTAATTTTAGATAATTTAGTAGAAGGAATATTTATTTTAGCTTTTTACAAATTGCCTGATAAACTGTAAAAATAAAGACCCTCTAAAATCAAAACTTTATTATTTCAGTATTACATTTTTCCAAATTTGACATCAAAAAGGTATTTAAATAATTGAGTAAATTAATAGTTTATTTCTCTTTCTTTTACAACATATTTAATAAATTCTTGCAATATAGACCCTTCAAAACAAAAAAAATGCTTATATCGGGATTACATCTTTCCAAATTTGGCCCGAAAACAAGTAATTTTAGATATTTTAGTAAGAGGAAAAGGTAATTTGGCTTTTTAGGAAATATTTAACAAACTGAGAAAATATAGACCCTCTCAAATCAAAAACTATATGTCAGTATTACCTTTTTCCAAATTTGACTCCAGTTATTAGTATTATCTTCTTTTCATATTGACCGCAATAAAGGTATTTTGGATAATTAAGCTAGAGAAATGGTTAATTTCTTTTTACAAAATGTTTAACAAACCTTCTAAAATCAAAACCGATATTTCAGTTTTACCTTTTCCAAATTTGACCCCAAAACAAGTTATTTTAGATAATTTTGTAAGAGGAACGGTTAATTTGGCTTTTTACAAAATGTTTAACAAACCGTAAAAATGTAGACCTTTTAAAATCAAAACCTATATTTCAGTATTACCTTTTTCAAATTTTACCCCACAAGTTATTTTAGATAATTTAGTAGAAGGAATGAATAGGTAATTTAGATTTTTTACAAAATGAGTTAACAAACAAATTTGACATCAAAAAGGTATTTAAATAATTGAGTAAATTAATAGTTTATTTCTCTTTAATAAATTGTGACAATATAGACCCTTCAAAACAAAAAAATGCTTATATCGAGATTACATCTTTCCAAATTTGGCCCGAAAACAAGTAATTTTAGATATTTTAGTAAGAGGAAAAGGTAGTTTGGCTTTTTTAGAAAATATTTAACAAACTGAGAAAATATAGACCCTCTCAAATCAAAACCTATATATCAGTATTACCTTTTCCAAATTTGACTCCAGTTATTTGTATTATCTTCTTTTCATATTGACCGCAAAAAAGGTTTTTTTAGATAATTTAGCTAGAGAAATGGTTAATTTCTTTTTACAAAATGTTTAACAAACCTTCTAAAATCAAAACCGATATTTCAGTTTTACCTTTTCCAAATTTGACTCGAAAACAAGTTATTTTTAGATAATTTTGTTAGAGAAATGGTTAATTTGGCTTTTTACAAAATGTTTAACAAACCGTAAAAATGTAGACCTTTTAAAATCAAAACCTATATTTCAGTATAACCTTTTTCAAATTTTACCCCACAAAAAGTTATTTTAGATAATTTAGTAGGAGAAATAATTAATTTAGTTTTTTTACAAAATGTTTAACAAACTGTAAAATCAAAACCTAAATTTCAGTATTACCTTTTCCAAATTTGACCCCTAAACAACTTATTTGAAAACATCTTATATCAGGATTACCTTTTTGAAGAATTCCAAATGCCGACATTAAATTAACGTATTATCTTAGGACCCCTTCGGCAAAGCAAGAGCCATCTTATAGGTTACGCTACGACAATCCTATCGGCGCCTCCCCTTCGCGAAACCTCGACCATCCTCGGCCATACGACGAAGACGAATTCGATCGCTCGATGAGCTGCAGATCGTCGATGGGTCGTTCCATGGGTCAGATTACCAATTACAATGGTAAGTGAATGTTGGGAGATAGTATCATTGAGTATTTTTACTAATAATTTCGTGGTTTAATTTATAATAACAAAAATGAACACAGTAACAGAGTTTTTAGCGACAATTGGCTGTAATTAAGGTGGAGTATACATAAATGTGTACAGTGCAAAATTTAATTATCAAGAAACCATCATGTTTATATACAATAGTTTAGCATATACATGTACTGTAATTTACAGTACAGATATATCATCTGCATGATTTTAATGTAAATATATATTTCACATTTTTGGAAAAAATACAATTTATATTCAGTTACATAAATAATGGTTTTCCGCATGATAATTGCAATATTATTTATTTTGTTTCACATATAAAGATTTAGCAAGTTTTCAGAACAATTTTAAAGTTTTCTTTATGATGTACATTAGTTTTGCTGAGATGTTATGGTGGCGCAAATTAAATGTTATGGTATATGCTATATTTCATGTATTTTAAACCATAAAGTTCTTTTTTTTATCTGGACTGCGGTAACGTTGCAAATTTAGGGGTTTGGTTGGTAAATAAGGAACCAAAATTTGTTGCATTGATTAAAAGAAACTAAACCAAGTGAGTTGTCAAAATTCGTGGTTAAAAATGCAATTCATTTGGCTTTGGTAGTGCGTAGATGAGTTAAATCATATAAAAAAGTAGTTAAATATAGGTGACTACGGCCCAGGAAAGACAAAGTATTCCTAGCGGATAATAATCTTCGCTTTGCAAAGAATTTATATAAAAGAAATTAAAATTTTATGTAAACACGTGAATGTTGTCCAATCATTGGACTCCAATGGTGAATGGCTATTTTGTTAAAGCCACTGGACGTTAATACTTGTAGTGGCTTAATAATAATTATAATGTATATATTGTCCAGAACTATTAATGATCAGTAACTTGCAAATTGAAAGAAGAAAAAGTTTCGTGATTATTGCTTATCTTTTTCAAACCAAATGGATGCTTTTTTCAAAGACAGGAAAATTAACTACTAGATTTTTCAAAAAAAGGTTGAACAGCAAATAATTTTTATTTTTTGTTTTTTTATTTCCACTTTTTTTTAAATTTCAAAAATTTTTGATCTGCTTAGCTCAAAATAATGTGTGATTTAATATTTGTAAAACCAAAAACTTTTTACTTAAAAAATGTCCATGTACTCACAATCCACACAACAAGGTCTGTTCTATCTCATACTAAAAATACAAAAAATCACTGCAACACTGCACAGTTTATCGGCGGCCATTTTTGTTGTTTACAATTTTTGTGCTTTGGGTTTGTGCTCTGTTTATACAGATTAATAATCGTTTTAAACGTTGTGTTTTTCATAGTAAGCCTTAAAAGAGTCCTTAAAGTGCTAAGAACAACCATTTTACTGCTCTATTGTAAAAAATAAACTTTATTCTATCAGGGCTGTCATACTTCTTCTTCTTCTTCAACTTTGGGCGGACTTACGGCTCAACCACCGCCCTTATGGTCCTGGACAAAAGTCCTTATTAACCAGGTACAAGTTTTAACGTCCAATGGTTCCAGAAGACCCAAAAACCATTGGACAACGGTTGTCTATTAAACACGTGGACGACACAATTAGGTTATGTAACCTTAAAATTTATAATAGCTTTATATAAATTCCTCTATTCCTTTTAAAAAGGACAAAACGAGGAATATTATCTAGCACTGGAATCCGATTCTGTCTTCCCTGAGTCAAAGTCAACTATTTTTCACACTTTTTCATGGAGCAATGCAGGAGCGATGTGCTTCTCACCGAGGACAAAATCGGGCTGTCATAAAACTGTCAAATGTCAATTTTAAGGTTAAATTAAAACCCACAAATTAACCTTCAAATTGTCATTTGACATCCCTGATAGAATAAGGTATAGTTATTATAAAAGAGGAGTAAAATGGTTGTCCTTAGCACTTAAAGGCCTTATTTGAAGCTTACAAGTGCCTCTGTAAGAAACACAACGTTTAAAACAATTATTAAACAGCACAAACCCAAAGCCCAAGAATTGTAAACAACAAAAATGGCCGCCGTTAAACTCTGTGCAGTGTTGCAGTGATTTTTAGTATTTTTAGCATGAGATAGAACAGACCTTGTTGTGTGGATTGTGCATGTACTTTTTCTGCCATTGAGGCATTTGGCATAACTTCATCAAAATTAAGTTTTTTAAGTTTTTTTTACTTTAGAATCTGATATTATTTTTGGCATAGTTATCTTTTTATATCGATATTAAATAATAATTAACAAGTAAATTATCAATTTGACAGTGTCAGAGTATTTAATTAAGGTCTTCAGCGGAAGTACCATTTTTTTAAATACTAAAAATACTAAATGAAACTGGCATAAGCTACCAACCAAATAAAAAAAAATGAACTGTATATTTTTACAATTTAACGTTTACTTTGCGCCACCCGTTAGTTACATTTTGTTATTATTATTTGCGTATTTAGCATGCCGCTTTATAAATTGCATATTTTATTTTCGTTGCGTTTTTTGCGTGTTTAACAGTAGTCTCATCTTTACGAAGCGTTCCGAAACCTGGATACGGTCTTAGATCATCCACATTACCCGCCAGAAATGGTTATGTAAGTATAAAACATACAGAAAGAAAACAAGAATGAAAACCAAAACATTAAAACTTTGAGAATAGTTTTTATATATTAACACTTAAAATCGCGAACTCTTATTAAGTATTAAGATAGTTAACTTTTTAATATCATTAGAGTCATTCCAAATAAAAACACCAAATTGGGTGCGCTGCTTGATTTTTTATTTTGATAAAAAAAAATTGAGAATGATCTTTTAGGTATCAAATATGAAAATCCGTTGCCGTTTTAATTTTTGGATTCTTTATTTTTAATCGACACCCTTTAGAAATCTGAAATCGTGTCAATTTCTTACTCTCTTATAGTGGGCCAGAACTTTTTTTTTGTGACAAATATTGAAATGATTTTAATTTTGTTTTACTGTTCAGTAAGTGTGTTTTCGATATAAATTATTATTATCCAATTAGTTAATATCATAAAAGAATGGTAAACCACTAAAAATTCATGATAATTTGCCAATTTTTGTGATTTTTGTCTGGCTCCTGTACCTATTCTACTAAATCTAGAAAGTTATTTTTTCAGGTATCAAGTACTTATACAATAGAAAACTTAACTATTATTTATTTTAAGTTTCTAGACTATCATTTTCTTTATTAAAAAAATTATTGAAACTTGATAATTCTTAAAATTAGTCAATTTTGCCCTCAGAAATCATTATGTTGAGGAAAAAATAAAAATCTGAAACTTTCAGGAAATGTAGTCCCCACCTTCATCTTTTCTGTCCAGTTACTCTTGTTTTGTTATTTTTATTCCTTTAAAAGATTTATTATTATTAATTTTTTTAATACCCGTTTAGTAGCGATATTGTTAGTTTTATTTATAATTTAAAATTTAGATGGCTTTCATGTTTGGTGGAGAAGTGTCAGAACTGTCAAAAATATTTCAACCATCATACCAACCATATTTAAAATCACCAAAGGAATACCACAAATAATAATTATAAAATATTTTTGACAGTTCTGATATAGGTATTTGGTAGTTATATGTGTTATATTTTATGTATTGTATAATCATATATATAAATATATATAATACAATATATAATTTACACAATCTGTAAATACTAATTAAATTCTGAATCTCGAACACTCCGTCATTTATTACACTTGCAAACTTGCAAACTTTTTGAAATCATAATTTAAATACGCACAAATAATATTTATGAAATATTTTTGACAGTTCTGACATTTCTCTACCAAACATGAATTGACAAAGTCAAAGCCATCTAAATTTTAAATTATAAATAAAACTAACAATATCGCTTCTTAACTGCATTAAAAAATATTAAATCTTTTACATGGATAAAAATAACTAACTGGACTGAAAATATGAAGGTGGGGACTACATTTCCTGAAAGTTTCAGATTTTAATTTTTTCCTCAACATAATGATTTTTGAGGGCAAAATTGGCTATTTTTGATTATTATCAAGTTTCAATAATTTTTTTAATAAAGAAAATGATAGTCTAGAAACTTAAAATAATAGTTACGTTTTTTATTGTATAAGTACTTGGTACCTGAAAAAAACAGGAGCAGGACAAAAATCACAAAAATTGGCAAATTATTACAAATCTTTAGTGGTTTACCATTCTTTTATGAGATAAACTAATTAGATAATAATAATTAATATTGAAAACATACTTACTAGGCAGTAAAATAAAATTACAACCATTTCAATAATTGCCACAGAAAGAAAGTTTTAGCCTCTTATAAGAGAGTAAGGAAATGACACGATTTCAGGTTTCTAAAGGGTGCCGATTAAAAATAAAGCAACTAAAAATTAAAACGGCAAAGATTTTTCATATATGATACCTAAAAGATCATCCTCAACACGGTGCTGTTTTGAGAGGTGATTTTTGGACTTTCTGTGAAACCTAATTTTTTTTTATATTCTTGTTAATAAGGTCATAACTAAAATTTTAAGAGCAAAATAAAAAAAATGTGACGGTTTGAATTGTTTTAATTGGCTGTTTATTAAAAATATTATGCACTCTTTCAATTATCCAATTAAAACTAGCGATTTAATTTAAATATTTAATATTTGCATAACTAAAAAAAAGGTTTTTTACAATTTTTTTTATATATTTTACTGTTTTGTTGCAATAAACGTTCAAACTTTTAATCTAACCTTTGACGTATACATTTATGTTCCCTTAATTAATATATCCTTAAAGGTTGCCATGAAACTTAGATCTATTAAAAATTTATTTGACGTTTGAATTGTCATTTTCAGTATACGTATTCTATAATTTTTGTTTAGTTTTTTAAAGTGTTTTTTATAAACAAAAATGAAAAATTGTAGTAAAAGCTACGAAGAAATTCATGAAATTTAACTAAGGACCGGTTTATTCATCTTTAGTAAAGTTTATCGGGCCGATAACTTTCATGTCTTGGCAATATCTAGTATCCAAAGAAACTATTCGTCAAATAAATCAAAAATGAATAAATCGGCCGTAAATAAAATGTGGCACCCTTAAAATTATTGTTTAATAAATGTATACTATAGATTTAACCTTAAATTAAAACTTTAAACGTGTATTACAACAAAACAGTAAAAGATATAAAAAATGTATAGACCTTTTTTTAGGAAATTAACTAATCTTTAATCTGATTTAAAAAGTTATAATAATATTTAAATAAAATCGCAAGTTTTAATTGGAGAATTGAAAGTGTGCATACATATTTTTAATAAACATCCAATTAAAACAAAATTAACCGTCAAATTTTTTTTATTTTGCTCTTAAAATTTTAGTTATGACCTAATTAACAAGAATATAAATTAGGTTTCACAGAAAGTCCAAAAATCACCTCTCAGAACAGCACCGTGTCAAATTTTTTCATTAAAATAAAAAATCATGCAGCGCACTTTTAAATTCATTTTTGGTGTTTTCATTTGGATTGACTCATTACTATTATCAAACTTTTAACGTTTTGGTACATAAAAAACACACAAACGCAACATGCATCGAGTCTAAAAGCATTCATTACAGACGCTTACGCTTCCGCTACATATATGAGTACCAACCTTAAAAAACATATTTGTTGTGTGTCGGCCATTCATAATTTGTTAATTTGTTGCCTTTCTCTCTCTCTCCCGCACGTCGGACGAATCAGTTGTAAGCGCCCTTCGTCACGTTCCTAAGCCGGGTTATGGTCTGGCGCCTCGATCGCATACATTCAGCTCATCTGCCGGTAGTTACCCCCAAATCCCTGTAAGTTTCTCACTTTCTGTCTCTCTTTTAGCAGCTTATGTTTCGTGCTTCGGTGACTGTGTTTCTTTGAGTGTGTTGTGTTTTTGAAAGGGGTCATGGTCCAGTCTAATCGTCAAAGATTTATTAAAAAATGTAAAACTGAAGTTGCTAGAATAGCTTCATTAACAATTTTAAAGTATTTTCGGGTTTAGACTGTGTTGAGAGAATGTTTCGTCTCTTTAAGCTGGAGATATCTTCAGGAATCAAAGTGAAATTGAAACTTTCAGTTTCAGTTAAAAATGCAGTAACTATTAATAAATCTAAAAATAAGGCACCATTAGACTGGATCATGGATTATGTTTTAAATTTGAATTTTGGACACTATTGCCAATGCTATCCGCAATAAACAGAAATACAATTTTATTTGGTCTTTAACAAAATGTGAAAATTATGGCCCTTGTTGTCTATACAATTTCCAATAGGAACCTTTAATAATTTGAGAATCGATAATATTAATTTTTATAATAAACCTATATCCAAAACTCAACAGATTTTATTAAAATTTGTGGTTTTTTGTTATTATATGAGATAAGTAGATGCATTCTTTTTTCTACTCCCACCTTTAAAACGCCCTTTATCGTACATGTTTCCATGACACTAAGTGACCTTTTAAATACACATGGACAAGTTGTGGCTTTACGGCGCTTTAGTCACGGGCTGAAGTTAGTTGACAGTTGTCAAATGTCATACAATCGTTAAAATAAATTGCCTTTCTTGTAAAATAATACTAAATGTGAAAATTATTTTATTATCTCAATACAAAAATATTAAATAGTTTCTCAACTCCAATATTTGAAAAGTTTATATGAACATTGTACTGACCTTTTAATTTAGCCGGCAGTAAACTATAACTTAAATTCGGGCACGGACTCTACTGTAAAGTCCTCATAAAACATTTCCTTTACTTTCACTGTAACTTCAGCCCGTGACTAAAGCGCCGTAAAGCCACAACTTGTCAATGTGCATTTAAAAGGTCACTTAGTGTCATGGAAACATGTACGATAAAGGGCATTTTAAAGGTGGGAGTAGAAAAAATAAATTAGCTATAATTTTTATTTTATAAAAACAGTTTTGTGATTTGTCCCGTCCGTACGCTTGAAATGGCCGATCTGTCGGCTTAACCTCACATTTTACCAATTTTAAATGTTACTATAGTGGCCTTCTCGCAATTTAAAACCCTATTGGTTCAAATCACAGTGAATATTGAAATCGACCAATCACTGATGCCCAAAAACGTGAATAATCAAACTCATTTATAATGTTTATCATTAATCCCGAAAAAAAAAACAATATTATGAAATGGGAGTATAAATTCGTTACTACTACTAACAGAGGCGTCTCTATGGAACTACACTATCCTTTTAAGATGAAAAATAAGCCAATAATCTAAAAAAAAATCTCTATTTTTTAAATGTTTTTTTTTAAATGACAGTCGATTGACCTAAATTGTATCTTTTCACAGTAAAATTGCAGTGTATGTAAGATTATTAAGAAAATTAATGTTATTTTAATGTTTTATTGATTCTCAAATTATTATAGGTTCCTTTTGGAGCCAAAAAGTCAAATGTTGTTAAATCTGGCGACCTCGCGGGCCATAAAAGTTTTATAGTACTAAAAATTAGTTTTAGAAAAGAATAAGTATACACTTTTTTTTTTAAATTAAGGGGCATATTCATTTTGTTAAAACCAAAGAAATTAAAAATGTTTTTCTGTATTTTTCATAACTTTTACAATTTTTTTTATTTAAAAATAAAACAAACGTGTTTTCCTACTTTTAGAATATAAATTTTTTATTATTGCATGTTGTATAAAAACTTTAAATTTCATAAGGTTCTAAATAAATGTTTCCATTATTATTATTATTTTGTGTGCATTTTTACAGGGTGTCTCCAAAATTTCGATATACCACATACATTTTTTTAGACGAGTTGTTTTTAATACTAAGGATTTAAGTTTAAGAAATAGTAATAAATAATCCATACCTAATAGATGGACAGGTTTAACAGCTGTATTTGTTTTAATCAAAACTTGGTATAATTAACAATTTTATGTTTTATTTAAAATTTATATTGACAAATAATAAATCGTTATTTTTTTGACACCCTGTATAGTTGTTTTTTATAATATTAAAAACATCATGGGCCGAAATGTTTCTTTATCTTTTTTTTTATTTTTTAACAATTTTTGTATAGGAACTTATCTACTGACGTCCATTTTTTACTGTATTCTTTATGTTCTTTAATACTTGCATGTGCCCATATCTCATTGGTTGGTAGTTTGGTGGTGGTGTTAGGAAAGGGCAGAATGGATTTTTTTTATATTTTTCTCCTTTAAAATCATTATTGTTTTGTGTATGTTGTGTGTTTTTTGTACATACCTTGTATCGGCTAACTCTAGCGCACGGTCATTGTTATAATAAAATTGTATCCACAGGGCGATTATTCGTTTAGCGGTATGGGCGCCAAAACCCATAGCACAGACTTCAGCTGCGGAAAATCCGACAGTAAGTATCAAATTTTTGCTACACCACAGATTTTAGAAGTGCATATTTATTTTATGCTTTAATCCTATGCCTTTATTAAAATATCAAACTAAACATAGTTTTGAGTCTGATTCAATTGTTATCAGCTGTATGCGCAGATATTTTGATGGTTTTTACTGCGCATACTGGTTGGAGTATTAAAATTTTAATTGTTTGTAAAGTAGCTTTACAACATTAAAATTTTAACATTCTACACGTGTAGTTTTTGAGATACCATCCTGTAAAGTTACAGCTGCTTAATTATATATTTTGAGCTTTTGCATGTCGACTACTTAACTCAAATTATTACACTTTCACTACAGACGAGGCAAATAAATACATAATGAAATATAAAATGTAAAATACTTGGAAGAATCTTCTTAATTTAGTATGATAACGTATTACTAAGCAAGTATGTAAAAAATAATGCTTTTTCTTCAGTTTCCACTGGATCCATCACCGATGTTGAAAGGCGCGGTCTGGTATGTAAATAAGGCTTTAGTTTGTAGCACTTTTTTCAGTTTCTACTTTCTATCATACTTTTTATTATTTACTAACTTTTCATGAATGGTAGAGTTTTTATACTATACTATACTATATTTTAAATCTTAATTTATTAATAATTATATTGTAAATACAAAAATTATTTCTATCTTTCGTGTGCATTTTTGTAATAAACGTTGTTTTCCTAAGGGTTCTGAACATTGTACCGTTAAACTTACTTTTCCTTTTATATGCATGAGATAGATATAGATTAGGGTGTTTAAAAAAATCTACTATTCTTTTAGTTGCTAGGTATAGGTTTTTAAAATTGCCGGAAAAATTGAGCCGCCGGAAAAAAACTTTTTTTCACAGGGTAATACGAACAAATGCAAAAGTCAATTTTTCTAAAAATTTTCAAATTTTTACGGATAATAGCCGTACACTGATACCAAGAAAAAATGAATTTCCGTTGCTGATTATTATTATAATAATTATTCGTTTTATTTTAATTCAGTAATATTCTACCGGGCCGAAAAACAAAATATTCGGTGCTGTTAATACATAACTTTGGATATATTTTACGCTTCGATTTATAAAATTATAATTTTTAAATCTCAATCAAATCAAAAAATTAACTTAGATCGTCTTGAGGCACGTGTTGTTTTAATTTAAAAAAAATAAAAAAAATTTCCCAGTGTTTTTTTATGAAAACGAAGCTTTTTAGGGGGCGTCGCAAAAAATTTAATTTTTAACGACCACCCTAATGTGCAGTACATATTTTTGTTGAAAAGTAACTGTTCTACAAAAAAGGCGTTTCTAGTTTTTTTTATCAATATAAGCGTTTAAAATTTAATAGCAACTAAAGTTCAAATTATTCGATATTTTAAACAACTTTATAAATGTGTTCTTAATAATATTACATTATATTACAACATTTATATAAATGAATTATTCAGGGGAAAAGTTAAAAAAAAAACTTGTCATATTAAGATCTATGTATCCTGTATCGAAGTAACCAAAATAATAATTAAAAATTTGAAAAAAATATTAATAGGCTTTTTTGAGGTGCCTAGCAACCAAATTTTCTATATAAGAAGTATAAAAAAGAGTAATAGATTTTTTAAATTACCCTAGTATGTATACTAGGATGTCCGTTATTTACCAAGTTGGCTGTTTTCACTTGGGAATCGTTTAAATTGTTACTTTACAGCCTAAAACAATTTGGAACAATACTTTTTGGAAATTGATTTTTTTCTTATTTATTCAATAACTTACCAAATATTGTAGATTTTACATCCATTATGATTCCCCTTTGAATAAAGAATTTTTGATATTGGTGTCAAAAATGTATTTCGTAAATTTTGATCAACATTCATTTTTACCGTTTTTACCAATAATTTTGATTAATTTACCGACTACTCAATATTAATTGAGTCATTATTTTAATTTAGCTCAAACGCGTGTGTTACAAACGAGTGTTTTTGGGAATAAAGCCGAAAAATGTTAAAAAATATCGGAAAAAACCGTGGCTTGATTTGTTGTATTGTTGGGTGTATTTCGAGATAAACAGTGTTAATCCGAATGAAGAAATAAATTTTATACAGTCCCTGTAAATATAAATTGTATCTATTAGATACAATAAATACCCATTTTAGTAATGATTAACGTGAAAAATGTAAACATTTCAATTCAATAAAAATCGTCAAACAAATAAGTCGTCTAAATTTAAACAGCATTTAGCATTATTATAAGCGTTGATTAAGAATTCTTTAAAGTCTCCACTCAACGGAAAATACCATTATATTATGTATTATATATAATTTTATGTTGCCATGAATTAATAGGTATATTTTGTTGTTTTAAATGCAGTTGTCGGCGTTTTTTAGAGAACTCAAATATAAAAATGGTTGATTTTAAGGTTATGTTTGTGCAAAAATTATTTTTTACAAATTTTTTAAAAATGTCAAAACTTAAATATAGGTAAATTATATTTGGTAAAGTTATGATTAGTTAATTCTGCACCAACAAATGTACTTACCGAATTGGATCCTTTTGCAAAACATGAAAATGCGATTTAACGATTTAGTTCTTTAATTTTATTTACAATAATTATTAAAAACAATAATTCGCCATGATCCCTTAGATAAAATACACACATTAACATAACTATATACCTAAGCATTTAAGCGTTGAGTTTCTTAATCAATGATATATCGAGTACTAAACCAGCTTTTTAGTTTTTTCCTTGCAACGTAAAACACAAATAACGTGTGCGATTTAGCTGTGCAATTGAACAAAATTTGTCGAGTAAGACTTCTGCCTTCCTCTCTTTTGTGAAAAAACTACCTATTTATTTAAAAATGATATACAGTTCGTATGCTTTAAATGTATTGTTGACAATTCTTAAATTCACGCAATGATTTTGAAGTCCACCAGATGGCGCGCGCGTTGCGAAAACCCGATGCTTCTTTAGCGTTTACCGAAATTATTATATATATGCTAAATCAGTTGATATAAATATTTTTTTTTTAATTGTTATGCTATAAACTATCAATTTAAACGATACAAAATGAAAACAGCCAACTTGGTAAATAACGAACACTCTAATATACAGGTTCTTGTGTCAAAGAAGGTTTCATCTGAACTAGTTAAGTGTTAAAAGCACGTTAAAAAAATGCTTCATCAATTTTTCGACATGTTTAGATAACGGAAATGCCCGTGTCGACAACGTACGCAGGTCACTTGGGGCGGTATCCGATGAGCGTGGGGGGGAGCGGCGTAGGCGGCGGGTACTCGTCACAAGTGCGACGCTCCCTGCCCAACATGGCGCACTCGATGCTGATCAACGAGCCCGCCAAAATTTATCCGTACCATCTGCTGCTGATCACTAACTATCGCTTGCCGGCTGACGTAGACCGCTGCAACCTGGAGGTAATGACTTTGGCTAAATTTTGAGCTTTTTCTCAAACCTAGCACATTTTCAGAGGCATCTGTCGGATCAGGAATTCGAGGCGATATTCCAGTGTTCTAGGACGGACTTTTATCGACTGCCAACTTGGCGTAGGAGCGAGTTAAAACGAAGGGCCAGGCTGTTCTAATTTCAGCCTATTTTTCATCTTTACCTACCCACTTTTTAATACCCAGTAATGTCTTCAAGCTTCTAACAAAGTCAAGTCACCGCTGACCATTTGGTGGCTCACTTTTTCATTCATTCACCCTGGCGGCTTTAAATAATAATCGAGTAGGCTTACACTGTCGCGCTGTTGCCGGTTTTACATGATTTTTAATCAATTATTGTTTTAAAGTTCCTTCTTTTGATTATATTTTTTTTGTTTAGTAACGCAGTGGACTGGTTTTAAATTTTGCCATAGATTGATAAGTTTTTCTGTAATTACGTTAGGTTATGAATTTATTTTTCTGGGGGGGTTTCGTGAAGTTTAACTTGATCACTATGGAAAGTAAATTTCAAGAAACACCCGCTCTGTTGGCGATATATTTTTGTAAACCAAAATCCAAAACGTAAATGAAATTAAATATGTATGTACAATAATTGCTATGGGAAATAAATAATATATTTACTATTTTTTAGAAATAAGTATAACAAATTATGGTTTTAAACGGACAGAGTAAATTTTGTCTGTTGTAAAAACATTAAACTAGGCATTAGATTGCTTAAAAAAATAGTTTAAAATTGCTTTGGGCTAGTCTTTTAATTATTTGGTATAATTAGAATTTTTATTTAAAGATAACGGTGTATATTTTTATATTTATTACCTTAATATAATATATTATTCAAAGTATATTGTATTTGTTATAAGGTTGTATTCAATTGTGATTAAAATGAAATAAAACAACTTACAATACTGCTATGTCATCTAAATTAAATCAAAAACCACAATTGGCAGCATTTTTTTTAATTACTTTTACATGTTGTATTTATTTATTTGGTTGTTTTAATTTTGTTTAAATATAAGTATATAGAATTTAACGTAGTTTTTTAATTGTAAAAACTGTTTTTTGCTTTTGTTTAAAGCACAGCTCCAATCAAATAAATTACTTAAACCTTAAAAAACTCTTAATTAAAAACCCCTCCTTTAATTTATAGCTTTTTAACAATGTGGCGAATTAAATACATAGGTAAGTTACTTACTGTAAGTAAAGTTTTAAGAAAATCTTAAAAATTATTCAATCTGTATCTCAGAGAGAAGCAATGTTTGAACAATAACTCTATAGATACAAAAAACCCTGTACACTATATATAGTAATTCTTTAAAAAAATGTCAATTATTATAATAGTAATTGCCAATAAAACAAAATTTACAGTATGAAACCTTTTAAAATAAAAATCAATATTACAATCACCTTTTATAATCTGTGATTACAATTTGGTTGCCATAGAATTAACATCAATATTTTGAAATATGACTTTTTATTGATCAAATAGTTAAGGTTTGAAGATTTAAGAAACAGTTAAAATGTCTATGAATAAAATTCATACGAAATTAAAAGATAATGCTTGCATTGTTTTTCCTCCTCCACCCTCAAGGTAAAATATAATTTTTTGAAAACAAATATAATAAATAGTATTTTTATTATAAATTAGGTTTACACTAGCAGAATGGCACCTGCAAAATAAGTTCAGAAACAGAATCTGCTTTGATCAGCAAACTTTAGCAGATAGCGTTAATGCAGAATGTGAAAGGGTAAGTCCATCATAATGTTAATCATAAAATAATTTTAGAATTTGAATCCCACCTCTATTACGCACGGTGGACTAAAATCTCCGAAAAGCGGCCAAAAATACAATCAAGACTTTTTGCAGTTGAGATCATATAAATTGATTTTCTTATAGAAAAAACATTGAATTTTTACGTGGTGTTTAAAAAATTTAAAAATGGTCATTAATAAAAAAGTTATAGAGCCTTCAAATTTACCAAACTTGAAATCAATAAAAATATTATTCTTTAAAATTATTATAGTAAATAGCTGTAACTTTAAAATTAATAAAGATTTTTTAATAATTTTATTTTAAATAAACGCCAAGACGTTTATCTCTTTATAATTTTATAGTTAAAAATTAAATATCAAGAAACAAGTTATTGATTCACACTAATACAAAATGCTTTTATTTTCCAATCGGATGAAGACTTCTAGCTATCTTCGATCCATTTATACAAAAAAAAACTAGTTTGGATTCTACATACTCAGAATTATTAAGTTTAGTTACTACAGACAAAATACTCCTTGAAGTATATTCAATATTATTAATACATTAAACTTGTGTTAAAATTCCCTAATGTTATTTTATCTATTTTGCGTTCATAATGACTTCATTATAACACCGCTTTCGGTGCTGTAATGAGATACTTTACCCACCCCAAAATTTTGATTTTATAGGTTGGCTATACTTTAAACAACATACTAGTAAAATAATATTTTGCATATTGGTTATAATATTTTTATGATTTTTCTAGTACTTACGAGACTTTTCTGGCAAGAAATTATGTTTAACACCAAAGAAAACCCTTTTTTTCTTCTTTAACATTAACAGCCGCTTATTGTAAATAAGTAAATTAAGGACGGCATGGCGAATCGATTTTGACATTAACTGTCAAACCAATGACTGTGATACCAACTATCTAAAGTAAAATTCGACCAAATTAAATATAAGGTATAAAATTAATTTTTTTTATAGAATTTTTGCGAAATAGATAAAATAGCATAAAGAAGTCATTTCATAAGACCTTTTGTCGCACTGGTCCATTAAAAAACTCGCTCCTTCGTCGCTCGTTTAAATTTAATCATTTAAAAAATTTTTTAACTTACTTAAAAAAATAATCGCCGCTACTGATTCAATAAAATTTAAATTTATACAGAATCAAAACTTAAAAGATGAACTTAGTCTTAAAAGTTCATGATGATTTTTAAAAGATTTTAATAAAATTAAATTTTTAACTTAATAAGTTAGTAAAATTAAAATTTGTACAGGATCAATATATATTAATACCACAAAAATATGGTGTTAAAATTTCATAATGATATCTTTTCTAATTTTTTTAATGTATTTTGGACACTTTTTTGCAATTCCAGTCCACTGTGCCACGTCTGGTTTTCTTTAATGAAAGAGTAGCAAAAACCCTGCCTACCAGTACACTTTCCAGTTATAATTTGTGGTTTCGGCAACATTATTGATTTTTGTCAAAATTAATGAAAACCTTTCCCATTAATGAAACAATAAAAAAGATATTTCATTGTCGATCATCAATCATCTCTAGATTACCGAAGAAATTGCAGAAAGGACCTTAACGAACAAACTAGATACAGATCACAAACTACATGAAAAACTCACCGACATAAAATTCGTCGGTGATGAAATAAGAATACAACGAAAAGAGGTTGTCATGGAAGTGGATGCTTTGTTGGTGTACATGGAAAGAATCAAACATTCCTTGGACAACCTTAAACAAAATGCGGAAGTTATTTGCAAGAAATGCCTGATTTGCAGGGAGGGGCGGCTGGGAATAGATCTGGTAAATATCTTTGAGGATCTTTTCCAGATTTAATCAATTTGCAGATGTTTGATTTCTAGTGTCATGATGAGATAGAAGACGACCTGAAAAAGGAGATAGACGTCATCCAAGGTGCTCAAAACATGCTGAGAAGAGCTCTCGAGATGGCCAACGAGCAAGTACGCCGTTTGAGATCCACAATTTACTTCATGGACCGTGACCTGGAAAACAAAGATAACGTGCTGAAAATTGACGAAACCAATTGCTCTTTGAAACACACCAGCATGCATTTGAGTATGTACCACGGATTCGCGCCTTTAGACTCATCGTAAGTGGTCTATTTTTGATGTCTTGTTTATTGTCAACTTTTTGTGGTTCAATTACAGTACCATAACTCTCGAAGAGTGGAGTCTATACACTCAAGAAAACCTGGACAATGCGGCCAAAGAAATAAACAGCGCCCGTCAGTTGAGATCTTACATCGAAATACTGCTAACCCAAGCTATTGAAGACTTGAAGGAACAATATGACCTGACCAACGCTGCGTTCACTAAGAGAATCGAGGAGATAAAGGAAACGAAGATGAAGTTGGAGATACAACATGCAGAAGTATATTTTATTTAAACATTCAATTTTCTTAGTTTCTTTAAGGAACTTTCTTAACCCATTACTGGGAATATTCATAAGAAAAGATTGAACCTACACCTCGCTTATATTCTGGGTTGGTAAGCCAACAAAGGCGAGATGTAAGAACACCGACTAACCTGATGTACTTACATCTCGCCTCTGTTTGCTTACCAACCCAGCATATAAGCTTAGGGAGTCCTTTGTTTTGAGTGTGTTCCACTACACCAAGTTGCCTGACACTGATGAGACCCAATATAGGTCTGTCGGTATTTGAAGTTGGTGAAACGCACTCAAAACAAAAAACTTTGGCGAGGTCCCTGATAGCAAAATTTGATTCTAAGAATCTTCTAAGAAGATATGACCCGGAATAATGGAATATTCTTAAAATCTTCCCTTATTGCTAAGAATGTTCTTAGGGACTTTTAAAACATTCAATAGATACCCTTTTAATGATGCAATTAGATTATTAGAAGCTTCTTAAAACCTTCCTAAAAAGCATTCTAAGAACATTTTAAGAATACGTTTTTGGAATGTTCTTAGAAGGTTTCTTATGGAGCTTCTATGAAGCTTTTGAGAATATTTCCAAATATGTCAGATACCCACGTTCTAATATGTTGGATTCTACATTCGTAAAATTCTTCAGGAGGCGACAAATAGGCCTCACTGTCATAATATGACAGTGAAATTTATTTGTCGTCCCCTTAAAAAAATTTGCGACATATTAATATATATTTATTTAAAAATATTAAATAAACAATTTGACCTCTAAACCATAAGTTGTATGACATTATTTCATAAAAAGTAAAATTGGAAAATTTTGTGGGATAAGTCAGATTAGATTGAAGTTGAAGATAGTTAGGATTATTATACATACAAATGTTAATTCAGATATAAAAAATCGGTAGGTACCTATACAAATTAATAAATATTTATTTTTAACATGAAATAAAATATAAAAAAACAAAATATTTCCTTATAAAATAATTCTTCATAAAAGAAAAAACCAAATAGTTCTTCAAAAAAAAAACATTTTTCATTGTATTTAAGTTGAATAGAAGATTTTATGTAAAAGCCGGATAATTTAGATACCTATAGTAATTTTGTTATCGAATATTGTTTTAATTTGACAAATAACTATAAAAAAATATTTTGGGTTTTGTTTTTTACTTAGTATTTAATACAAAGTTTAGGTATCTTTATACCTAGATTATGGTATATTTTACTATTATTTAGGTACCTAACCCAGACCGCAAAATCACATTCCCTGCACATGTCAGGAATATTCCTGGCATAATCAAATGTCCGCTTTTTGGTTAACCCAGGCATCATAAAAATAATATTCCATATATCTGCCTTCAGAAGACTCAAGGATTGTTAGGGGAATATTCCTTGATATAATTTGGGGATTATTCCCAGCCCTTATTGCCTCTTATGCCCAGGAACTTAACTTAAGTATAGCCATTCTTGAGTTACTGAGTAGATCAGCCACTTTAATCATTGTTTGGCTGTGCCATCACAGACGCACATCTCCAACTAATATTATTCTATCGGTATATATAGTTATCAAGCGTGCGTAAGCAACGGTGAGAGGTATTGCAACTAAACTAATGAATATTCACTGGGAATGTTCTTAGATGATGCTTGGAAGTTTTAGAGGATCATTCTAGGAATATTCCTAGAATAAAGCGGATTATTCCTAGGCGATAGGGAATATTCCTGGAATATTTTCGAACCTTCATTGCAGTCTGGGAACTGAACTGAATATGCTTAACAGAATATTTCAGGAATACCTAAATGAACTTTCTATAGCATTTACTTCCTCAACATTCTAAGCATATGTTTAGAGTGGATTAATTTTTACCACTAAACTTTGCACCTTCTAAGAACCTCCCTATAGGCCAGTGAGAATATTCTTAGGAGTATGCTATATTTCTTTTAAGCATGCATGCTTAAAAGAACATGTTCTTTAGAAGAAATATAGCATGATCCTAAGAATATTCTCACTGGAAGGTTTAAAAAACATTCTTAGAACATGACTAGAAGAAATATAGCATGATCTTATGAATATTCCCACTGGAAGGTTTAAAAAACATTCTTAGAATAAACTATGCTATCAGGGGTGAAGGTTCAATTTTTTCTTATATTTTATTTAACTGAAGGTACCAATCAACAAATTGCTGGTTTTAGATTGTGAGGCAAGCCAATGAGATGACGAGGACCATAACACGTCTAGAGATATCCATAGCGGAGAAGGAGGGTTTCATGGCCTTGGCACATACAAGATTGGGGAATAGATGTCAACGGGCAGGGGTTGAATTATGTAAAGATATGGTGGAATTGTCGTTGTCTAACGAGGTTTCTGAGTTGAGAGGCAACCTTTCTAGGCTGCAACACATGATTGCTGAGGTTTTGAAACATATATTATACATAATATTTTTTTATTATTATGCGGGTTTTATTTTAGGCTCAAGCTTCATTGCGTTATCTCCTTAAAACTCAGATACAACTGGAGGAAGATATCAATATTAAAACAAACACACTTAAAATCGACGAAGTCGATTGTATGACTCTTCGACAAGCTATGGACTATCATGCATACTAATGTTTTTAGTATTTTACACATTTTTAATGAATATATCAAACGATTAAATGTATTGTTTTATTCCACATAAAAAGCGTTATAATTACTTATCTACATTTAGTTCTGGATGCATTTGTAGTAATTACTAATTAATATAATTATTAGAATAATAAAAATGTTCATAATTTTAATTTGCATTTGTTTTGTAACAAATTCCACTTCAATTAATCCAAGTAAGTATTACCTACAATTTAACTTAACTTTAAAACTAAATTAAATATTTTTGTTTACCAAGGCGAAAATCGAAAAATGTTCAAAAGAAACTATTTTCTTACCAACTATGGAGGACCTTTATATATGAGTGGCATTAATAGTTATTTAAGACCTATTTTTCCAAATTATCCAATGACTCAAAAACCATTTTTACTAAAGGATGATATGCGTTATTATTTCCAAATATATCACCCACATTATGGTAAAAATTTTAATAGAAGTACTACTACTACTACGACAAAACCAGCATTAGATGAGAAAGATAATGAAGATAAAGTTGTTCCCATCGTAGATGAAAACACTACTGAACCAAACTATAATGAACCATCTGAATCAAACGACTATTCATAGTATTAATATTAATAATTATTGTAATGAAAATTACTAATTATAATAATCATAGTATTAAACCTTTATATCCACAATATTTAATACCTTTTTTGGCTTGCGAATTAACCGTTAAAAAATTATCAAATACCTACTGTTGAAATTACCATTATTAAATATTAACAAAATAGTTAGCGGCCGTGGCTAATACATTCATTTCATTATTAATAATTTCCACCTGTGACTGTTGTTCGACGAACTCTTTTTTTCGGTTGAACATTCCCGTTTGTAGTAAACTGCTCGACTGTACGGTGAAATGAAGTACGTGATCGATTTTTTTCCGGAAAACGCTGAGCGTAGATATTAACAGCATCATCAAGATTCCTGCCTGCTTCTCCATAAATTGAAATCATTTCTATTTTTTCTTCCACTGTTAAAAAATCCATTATGAATAACTGCTTAACGAAAGGAGGTCTTTTTGTTTGCAAATTAATCTTCGAACTAAATTGATTAAATAATGCTAAACTACTTATGTATAAATAGTTTCTTAATACCTCAATAATAATTATTATTTATAACTAAATACCATTTTTTAATACCTCAATTAGGAATAAATAATTTAATTGACAAAATAATGTTTTTTTACCTTAAATGAGGTATTCTTATTAAAAATAGTACAATAATCCTTTAAATTTTTTGTAATAATTTGTTTGTTTTTATATATTAAGTAAAATTTTGTCTATAAGTAAAAAAATAAATGAAAGTATTACCATAATCAATTTCCGTTTTTCTGTTATGTCGCGGTTTTGTTATGTGGTTATAAAGAATTGTATTTGTACTTTCAAATTATAATTGAGTTAAATAATTACACAGCTGATTTAAATAAAAAACATTTTATTTTTAACAAAAACATAAAATTAATTAACAAATATTAACTAAAAACTATTAGTTTTTCTCAAAACCATCATTGAAACTTTTGGTTATGTAAAACTTTTCTTTCACAAATTTATGTTCGTGGGTTATGGGGACTTGTTGCGACGATTTGCCTTCAATTGCCTCATACTTTGGTTTACCCCTGGAATCTGAAGAATTTTTAACTTTCCTGTAATACCTCTTGGGTTTACTCTTCGCATTCTTGCTTTTTTTTGGCTTCTGCTCGTATTTGCTGCTGGTCATGTAAGCTTCACTGTAACTGTAGTTATCTTTATCGTTGCTTTTGGATTTTTTTAATGATTTTTTATTTGGTTTCTTCGTTTTTGACGAAACGTGTTTCGATGATCTTCTGTCGTTGTCTTCGTCATCTTCCTCTTCTTCTTCGTTGGCTTCTTCACGGGTTCTGTAGCCTTGGTGATCGTCTTCATCATCTTCATTCTCGAATGAGTATTTTCCTGAAAAAATAAACGCATATATTATTAAAATTTAATGTATGTTATGAGTATTTGTTACCAAACAAATGATGATATTTATCATGCTTTTCATCATCTTCCTCTGCTTCTTCGCCTTCTTCAAGATTAGATCTTCTATCATCATCATCGTCATTCTCTTCGACTTCTTCCTCTTTATCATCCCTGACTTCCTCTTTATCATCTTCCTCCACCTCCTGATTTTCTTCAACCTCCACGCTCTTTGGAGTCACTGGATTCGTAATCCTTTGCATCTCACTTCTGGCTGGTGGATGAAAGTTCGAAAAACTCACAGGAGGTGGCGTTAACTTCTGAACGGGCCTATGATTTACCAACGGAATATTTTGCTGCTGCCTATTTTGATATAATGGCAAACTCGGTTGATGCTGATGATGTGGATGATGATAAAAGTGATTTCTTTGCGCATTCTGTTGTTGGTGAGGTTGATGAACAGGCTGATAAACAATTTTACCATTGACATATAAGTATCTGCTTGGTACGTACGGGTGTCCCCCATGGTGCTGTACGTTGTGCGTTGGTTGAACGCTGTACAATGGATGATAGTTGACTTGCGCGTAATTTTGAGCGTGGTTTACCAAAGAGCTGTGTTGTACTGGACTTACTACTGTCTCTGCTGATGCTATGTAGCTGTTTTGCTCCTTTTTTTGCTCATCGGCAAAGTCATTATTATTATTATTATTATTATTATTAACGGGTTGAAAGATATGTTTTACATGAACGTTTGAAACAGCGTTGGTTGGTGTTTGTTCGTACTCGTATAGAACATGTTGTGCTGCTACTTTAGGTGCCTCAAAGGCGTTTTTAACGTTCGTGGATGATAACTGCTTTTCAGTCTCAAAAACAGGTTTTATTGCTGAGTTAGCTTGTGGAAAAAACTTGTGTGTGTTTGTGTAGAAATTACCCAGGTTGGGATCTTCAGTAGTTTGGTATGTTAAAGCTTGTGGTTCTGGTAAATGATAGACTATCCCTACAGGTTTAGCATCTCCAGGGGACTGAATGTCAATTAGTGTTCTCTTAGGTTTATTGAAAAAACTGCTATTTTGTGCAGAAGTAGAGTATAATGTTGCAAAAACTATTACAATCTAAAAAAAAGTAGGTACATATGTTATTATTTAAAAATCTAAAATATTTCGGAAAATTACATATTTAAATATGATTTTCTATATAGTACTTACAAACTGTCTCATGATTGCACACGTAAACTTAATTCTACTAACGTTATATCCTCCATTGATTTTCTATTTATATTGGTGAATTATTCTAAAAACAAACTGTTAACCGCAAGTATTTACTATAAAATTAACAATTATTTTTTTATGTAGAGAGAAATTTCAATTCATTTATATTTTAACACTTTAAACTGAACGTACAAATATTTAGTGATATACTGCTCAACGAATTTATTATTATTATTATTTTAGACAGTTTGGTAATATCTTTACCCTGATAGCACAGTTTATTCTAAGAATGTTTTTTAAACATTCTAGTGGGAATATTCTTAGGATCATGCTATATTTCTTCTAGTCATGTTCTAAGAATATTTTTTAAACCTTCCAGTGAGAATATTCTTAGGATCATGCTATATTTCTTCTAAAGAACATCCCTAGTAGCAATTTTGTCAAAGACTTGGGCCAGAATGGGTCAAGATACTTTGTACAGATTTTTTATCAAGAATCGGACAAGAATTGTTCCAGATTCTTGGCCAAGATTATTGGGCAAGACTTGGGCCAGAATGGGTCAAGATACTTTGTACAGATTTTTTATCAAGAATGGGACAAGAATTGTTCCAGATTCTTGGCCAAGAATTTGACCAGAAATCTATAGAGTAGAGGTTCTCATTCTACAGTAGCATCAGAGCTCTACCGAGGCACACTTTTTTGGGGGGGGCGGAGACGATAAAAAACCAACTTATTTTTTTATACAGTATGTCCATGGATAGAGGGCCCAAGAGGACAAATGGACTAAAATTTTCATTTTTCGACCAAAAGTCATTCCTTATAAAAAGTTCTGCTTGTTTAAAAAAGTCTATTGCCATACTTTAAATTTGAAAATATTATACAGGGGGTCAAAAAACAAGAAAACATGAAATACTCTCAGGAGTAAACTACCTTTATTTTTCGTTTTGGAGCAAAATGACAAATAAAAAAAAGATTTCAAATTGTATTCAAAGACCATTTGTAAAATTTTAACTTGGTATTGGGAAAAATAAAATTTGGAATATTATTCCAAATTTTATTTTTCTTAGTTTTAAAATTTAATTTCATATTTACAAAAATGACACAATCAACAATAATCAAGTAACGTCAAATTGACAATTTGCATTCTATCATTGTTCATTTTGGTAATTAATGTAAATTTACACAAAATGTCCGGGTTAAGAACCCTATACATAGGTAAAGGATACGTGAAATGAGGTAAAAAAGTATAAATTAGAAATTAAATTTTAAAACTTTATAAGAAAAAGAAAATTTGGAATACTGAGTTGAAATTTTACAATTAGTCTTTGGATAGGATATCCTTATAATATTATTTGTCATTTTGCTCCAAAACGAAAAATAAAGGTAGTTTATTCCTGAGAGTATTTCATATTTTCTTGTTTTTTGACCCCCCTGTATAATATTTTCAAATTTAAAGTATGGCAATAGACTTTTTTAAACAAGCAGAACTTTTTATGAAGAATGACTTTTGGTTCATTTGTCCTCTTGGGCCTCTAGTATAAAAAGTATACGCTACAAATATAAAAAATGGAACCTACTAGGTAGGTAAATAAAAAAAAATCAAAATAAAATCCAAATTTAAGCTACTAGGTTAAACATAAAAAATACAATTTTATTTACGGTAACAATTATAGGAGGTTACAATAGGTTAAAAATTATAATATTGTAAATTACAATTTCTAATATGTATGGTTTAAAAATTATATTTTATTTATTGTGATGAGTAGGTTGGTAGGGTAGGTAAACCCTACCAACCTACCCAAATAGATTTTGCCAACCGTGTTTGGATTTGGAACCAACTGCCTACACTTTGGGGGAGCGACTCCCCCCCTTAGGTCCGGCCCTGAGTAGCATCATTCACAATACTCTACTCTATTAAATGAAATAGTCAAAATTCTACTATTTGAATTACTACCAGCATTTTTTACTAATAAAGTAGTCGTTTTCACTTTAAAATGGTTATATTTTACTACTTAAATAGTTAAAGTTTGACTAATTTAAGATAAGTCACCATCTTTGACTGTTTCGAATAGTTAAAAGTACCTAATTTCTTTAATCGTTTGTTTAATATTATGAACAATATTTATAGACAAATAAAATTATTTTTTATAAAAGTGACTGATAGTGATTGGTTATGACATCCGCTTGACAAGCTTGACAAGGGACAGATCGGAGTTCAAACCCCGGCTGGGTCACAACTTTTTTAAATTTAAATCTTCTAATTTGACTATTTCATTCAGTAGAATTTGACTAATTATTAGTGACTGTTTTTTCGCTTTGACAATTATAATTGTCAAAGCGAAAAAACAGACTATAGTCATATATGACTTATAATTATTTATTTTAGACTAATTCATTTTAAGAGAGTATACTAGTCGAGAAGTGAGTTTTCTGTAGGAAATGAATCGAGTTTTTCCGTTTAGAGCTTATTGCATTGATTTTTTCAAAAATAAAAATTGTTATTTCTAAAAATTAAAAAAAAAGTGTGTGTCAGCTCTGACGCGTAACTAGAGTTTACTCTTTATGAACATGAACGATTATAAAATACATATTTTTTGTACTTGTGGACGTACATTAAACGTCCGTCGACATACATCAGACGTCCTACGGATTTCCATTTAAGGTTACTTTGTCACAGTTTTGGACGTCCATTAGATGTTACTAACGGACGTACATTTAATGACATTGTAAGCAATGGACGTACATAACACGTAAACAGCGGGAGTGCTTATTTTACTGCAGCGGGTAAGTTAAATAAAAAGTCGTTAATTTCAATAAATTTTTATAACGATAATGTTAAAACATTTAAATTTAGAGCAGGCTATAAAGCCTATAATTTAACATTAATAAACGTGTTAAAACCGTATAGGTATACTTGGTATACTGTTTTAATGCGTTTTTTTTCAAAACTTACATTGTATTACAGATAGGTACTATTTTCCACCAAATACTGTACAATACATTCCACAGTATTTGGTTCCACGCAAGTCCCACTTTGACATTTGAATACAAAAAACTGAGGTTAGGCATCTGTCAGTTTAACGCTTATTTCGTCTTATTCTCTGAAAATAATACAATAAATGTGCATAAAGGTCCTAATTTAGAACACAAAAAATACATATATAATGTACGTCCATGGGATGTAGTGTGCTGTATGGGAATCCTAGACGTTAAACGTGTTTTTTTCGTTCTTTAACGTCCGATGACCCAATGATGATTTATGGTTATTTTATGCAGATATACCGCCATATTTACTACTGTTCTAACTTTAATTGCCATTAAATAGAAAAATATCGAATAAAAAGTAAGGGCTATTTTTGTAACTTTGCCCCCCCAAATGTAACGCCTATGATTCAATTTTAACAGTTTTGATCTATTGAATTTTCTAGTAGGCTTTAGGACAAAAGTGACGTTTGGGTTATTTATAATATTTAGTTATATTTTTTATAATTTCATAATAAAAATTTGAAATAGGTATTAACTAAAAAATTGGGGATGTTTTTGTAACTTTGCCCCCCCCAAATGATGAAATTTTAAAAGTTTTGATCTTAGATCTAGATTCTACATGTCAAAATTACCAAAGTCCAAAAATTCATTTCTTCATGAACGTTTTAATGAAAATATGAGATAATAATAATGAGAGTAATTTATTTATAAATGCATTTTTCTCGAAAATGGTGCATCTAAACGATCTAAATAAAGAGTACCTATTTTTCGTAAAAAACTATAAATTTTCATAATTTCATAAACAAAAATTAAAACATTAACCTAGAAAAAAGTTAGGGCTATTTTTGTAACTTTGCCCCCCCAAATGTAACGCCTATGATTCAATTTTAACAGTTTTGATCTAAGATCTAGATTCAGCATGTCAAAATTACCAAAGTACCAAAAATTTATATCTTCCTGTTCAAACCTCTAGGAATAGTTTTAAAAAAATGACCCTCTTATGCTCTTATTCAGGGGGCCGTAGCTCCGTTAGGGGGCATTTTTTTATACATGTTTATTAAACAAACAAGTGTTATTTTTCTATAAAGAATGCACTTTTTAAGTTTGGCCCCCCAATTTCGGGACAAGAATTTTGACGTATACGTCAAAATTCTTGGCCAAGAATCTGGTCGAATTCTGGTCACAGACTTGTCGCAAGTCTGGCACCAGTCTGGATAAAGAATTTTGATCAAGAGTCTTGGTCAAGAATTGTCCAATTCTTTACAAAGTGCTTTTCCAAGTATCTTGACAAAGAATCTTGTCCAATTCCATTGCTACTAGGGATGCTTAAAAGAAATATAGCATAATCCTAAGAATATTCTCACTGGCCTATAGGCAGGTTTTTAGAAGGTGCAAAGTTTAGTGGTAAAAATTAATCCACTCTAAACATATGCTTAGAATGTTGAGAAAGTAATTGCTATAGAAAGTTCATTTAGGAATATTCCTGGAACATTCTATTAAGTCTGTCAGTTCAGTTAGGTACCTATACTTAGTATTAAATACTAAGTAAAAAACACAACCCAAAATATTTTTTTATAATTATTTGTTAAATTAAAACAATATTCGATAACAAAAATACTTTTACTATAGGTATCTAAATTATCCGGCTTTTACATAAAATCTTCTATCCAACTTAAATACAATGAAAAATGTTTTTTTTGTGAAGAACTATTTGGTTTTTTCTTTTATGAAGAATTATTTTATAAGGAAATATTTTGTTTTTTTATATTTTATTTTATGTTAAAAATAAATATTTATTAATTTGTATAACTACCGATTTTTTATTTCTGAATTAACAATTTTATGTATAATAATCCTCAACTTTACTTTTTATGAAATAATGTCATACAACTTATGGTTTAGAGGTCAAATTGTTTATTTAATATTTTTAAATAAATATATATTAATGTCGCAATTTTTTTTAACACACACGACAAATACATTTAAATGTGAATTCACTGTCATATTATGACAGTGAGGCGTATTTGTCGCCTCCTGAAGAATTTTACGAATGTAGAATCCAACATATTAGAACGCGGGTATCTGACATATTTGGAAATATTCTCAAAAGCTTCCTAGAAGCTCCATAAGAAACCTTCTAAGAACATTCCAAAAACGTATTCTTAAAATGTTTTTAGAATGCTTTTTAGGAAGGTTTTAAGAAGCTTCTAAGAATCTAATTGCATCATTAAATGGGTATCTATTGAATGTTTTAAAAGTCCCTAAGAACATTTTTAGCAATAAGGGAAGGTTCTAATATTCCATTATTCCGGGTCATATCTTCTTAGAAGATTCTTAGAATCAAATTTTGCTATCAGGGTAGGTGCCTAGTTAGGTAAAAACTAAAAACCCTTATGTCGTAGTTTTTTATTTTAATACATTATAATTTTTCTAAAAAACGTGTAC